ACACAATTTCAAATGTTGCTACATAAGACCAAACCGAGGCGGTGAGTCACATTTAGTATGATATATGTTTCGTATGGTATGTATTAATATGTGAACGTCCATCACCCATTTCGTATGATATGTTACAAATTTCCTAAATGTACAGTATGTTACGAATTTGCAAAACATGTTATATGTTACAAATCTGCAAATCGTACAATATGTTGCGAATTTGCTAAACATACAATATGTAACGTTAGCTAGGCTAGGAGTTAAGGTTAGGGTTACGTTTAGGTGTTGGGTTAAGGTTAGGGGAAGGGTTAGCTAAAAGGGTTAAGGCTTAGCTAACATGCTAATTAGTTGAAAAGTTGCTAAAGTGGTCCGTGATGAGATTCCAACTCACAACCTTTGGGTTACTAGACGTTCGCGTTATACACCTACCCATCCATCCACCCTACTTAAACTTTTGCCTTAAGTAAGCATCTGTCTTATGTAACCATACGAAACGTAACATATCATACTAAATGGATTGTCTCGGATTGCCGTAAAGAATAATATGAAATGCTCTGAGACCAGGTTGATTCACTATACATATCATGGATCAGAATGTGAGCTCACGAGATCAGGATGATTGATCAGACTAGAGTCTTGGATTATCTTGGATAATTAAAAACATGTTTGTAAGTATAAGTTTAAATCAACAATCCTCTATTAGCCAGTTTGTTAATAATTGTGTAGTCATTTGTATGACAACATGGAATTCTGATGAATATTCTGACTTCATACTAGACTTGGTTTTCTGAGCATATTAAACATGAAGACGCCATAGTATATTTCTGTAATAAGTAGAAAACAAATATCATTACATGAACTTCATTACACTCTTACTAAAGAGTAGAACTGTGCTTCTCTGGAACTATTACTACTGCTCCTGATGATGTCACATGCCTTGTGACTGAGATACAAGTATGTCAGAACCTGCTTGCTTCTCACAAGCATTCTCTAAAGGATTTTTGGAACGAGATGAAATAGATTGTTCGGAGGCCTGTGGTCAAACATCAGGTCTCAGAGTGGTTTGGTAGGATTGCTATAGACTTCAGTATCAGCCATAACTCAACTCTGTTTTTCCTAAGGTAAAATTAACGACATGCACTTTTGCTTAAAGCCAACATGTGTTGATCATGCTGCATTTTCAAATAGAATGGTATATCAGTGAATTAATAATGTCACATATTTCACTTTAATATTATAGCCCCCTTCAGATGCCTCTAAACTGAAGTTTACATTCAATAGCTTATTGCTGTATCGGATCAATCTTTGTGGCAGAATGAACATGTGTGACAATATAACTTCACTATAAAAAAAAAAAAGACAAATGTTAATCTTGATGGACATTTGACAGAATCCAGGATATTTTCCAACAGTTTTGTGTAACTTTGAATACTGTTATTAGTTTAGACTTGAGTTCAGCTTTGATTCCTTTAATTATTTGCTTACAGAAATTGGTGTAAGCAGGATGGCTTAGAATAACATACAATGGTATGTTGTATGGTGAAGTCGTTTTCAAGTACCTTTTGGAGAAAGCTTTAAAAACAAAGGATATTAAAATCGTCTTTGCTGTAATTAACAGATGACTTGCTGTAACAAGCAGATGACCTCAGTTTTGACCCAGTGTAAACATAACACTACGAATCACATGCTGTTACTGTGACCATGTATGGTGTTATTTAGGGCTTTCCTTATCACAAACAAAGATTAATCTTTATAGATTAGTGCTTTAAGGAAAAACAAGTTTCATCTTTCCATTAGTAGTGGAATTACTATGTTAACAAAATAATCTAGGGCCTGGGTGCCTTGACATTATTCACAATGTAGCTGTCTGTCAGGCACTTAAACAGGCCCAGTATCTCCTGTAGGATTTGTCGGAGCATATCTGTACCAGAATACCTGTATTTACTCAATGCAGTCATCTGAGAATTAGACTTCGAATAATTTCCAGTGTACCACCGTAAATCTGGAAAATATATTCACTGGAATATGACTTGTTCGTAATCAGATTTGTGAAATCCCCTCTTCCAGGGTGTCACGTTCGTTGAGAGACGGGTCAGACCAAGGTGCAGCGTGAAAAGCGTACATGTTAATTAACTCAATAAACATAAAACAAAACAACGTAACGTGAAGTCCTCAGGCTAAACACATACAAGCCTAAACGGAACACAATCCCACAACTAAGGTAGGCAACCAGGCTACTTAAGTATGATCCCCAATCAGAGACAACGATCGACAGCTGTCTCTGATTGGGAACCACACCCGGCCAACATAGAAATTCCCCCACATAGATATTCACACCCTGACTACCAACTAGCCAACTCTATGTCAGGGCGTGACACAGGGATAGGCTACAATACGGCCAATGTTAGTCACCGCTTTTCTCAGAATCTGCTAGACCTTTTGTTACTGTGAATATCCAACAATCTAAAAAATGATCTATCAAATGAGTAATAAAGGCAATACCAGCAAGCAACCACATGAACAGCTCTCAGAGAGTTGAAAGAGAGTTGATCTATGCTGTTTCTACACTCTGTCTACCACTGTCTACCATAAGTGTTTCAAACTGTCCAATGTGTCCCTGTCTACAGTACTGTACTGGTTGGTTAACTACAGCTATGATAGGATAATTGGAGGGGTGAGCTTTACAATGGCACGCTATAGGATTAGTGTCAAGACATTATAGGTAGACATAAAAGACAATATAAAACTCTAAAAACACACGTACTGTATGTTCAAGGCCTCTTGAATACTTTCCAAGCAAAGCATATAGATTGTGGTCTTAGAAAGTTTGATGTTTGTTTGACGTTTCTAAACCCACGTGGCTCATCGAAACGGTGATTGACACCTGCAGAAACATTACAGAGAAGACATAGGATGCTTTAATACGGGATTATTTAAATTACACTTTTCCAGATGTTCAAAGCACTTTACATTGTATGGGGCTTAACTCATCTCTACCATTACCAATGTGTAGCACCCACCTGGGTGACCATAGAGAATCAGGATTTTATCTTAATATCTTATCTGATGGATGGTAGCCTGTACAGAGCAGTGCCCCCCGACCCTCACTGCCCCCTATTGTCCCTTCAACATCACCTCCAGCAGCATCTGGTCTCCCATCCAAGGATCAACCAGGACAAACCATGTTTAGCTTCAGGGGAATGCCAGCAGTGGGATACAGGGTGGTATGGCTGCAATTCACATCTGTAGTCACACTTCTGAGGGTCTTCAAAGCTGAGCTGGACATCTTGTGGTGAAGACATGAATTACTGCCCTGGCATTTTCTTCTGTTCATATTTCTGTCCGTCTGATCATGTGAACAATGTATTATTTTCCACAACAATAAAATGTATGTAACTGAACGAACCTCCAAATGTACTAAACTATCAACACAAACTGAATCACAAAACATTAGAGGAGGATATCAGCCAACTACCCTGTGAGAAGACAGTGAAGCACTAGAGCGAGGTATACATTTGTATTAATTCCAGCAACTCCCTCTTTCTCTCTCTGATCTGCAAGAATTGTGTAAGATTGCCTCATACTTTCAGAGGCCCCTGTTGGATAGATATGGAGAGGTTTCACACACCCTCCTAGTGGTGGTGGATGAGATTGGTAACTTCTGTTGTCACTGCAAGAGACAGATACCAGCCTTCCTCAGTGTGCCTTTGGCCTCTGGTTTTGCAGTAGATTATTACTTTAGCTTAATTCCAGACATGATTGTTGTATTGAACGTTAGTTATGTAGATTTATGAGACCAATAGATTGTTGATGTGTGTATGTATATATGTATGTATGCATGTATGTATAACTGACCCTTTCTATGTTTTCCTCCCTGACTTTACACTAGAGAGTGTGATTTCCTACTACCGCAGTGACTGTTTGCAAGCATTACAGAAATTGTGTTTGTTTTAAAAACTATGTCCCTATAAAATGTCCCATATTTCTGTGAGAAACACAAGATTTTATGGTAAACAGAACCTTTACTCATTTTTATCATTATATGCGTCATAATTCGTTACTGTGCTTCCCTCTAGTGGTGAAAAATATATGTACTTACTCTCCCTGCAATGCAGCCAACCAGACCAGAGGGAGTGAAATCTTGGTTCCAAATAGACATAGAAGGGAGGGGCATCTCACATCCTTCTCTTGTCTATCACTTTGAGACTACAGCCCAAATAGAATGCATAGCCTTTTGGGATATGAAGGAATTGAATAGGTGTATACAAAATGGTGATACAATACTACACCTTCCTATCAGGCTCAGATTCCTTCAGATCTACACACCGACATAATTGGCAGGTCAAGATGGATCCGACATAGCCCTGTGAAACCAGCCTGATCGCTGCATTCACCATTCTGTAATATGTGAAGTGAAATAGAATGGTAAATGCAGCAATCACATTGGTTCTACCAGGCTAGATCCACAGATTATGTATTTACCACACTGCCGGGTCTGTACGAGTTTGAATGGGTATCTTTCAGCCTGTGTAATGCCCCCGCCATTCTTCTTACCCTTCCACAGCTGGATGTCTACAAGCTTGACCTTCAAGTCTGTATAATGCCCCTGCAATGCCCCTTACCACCCTATTGGGTTTCTATGTGTTTGAGCGGATACCTTTCGGCCTGTGTAATGCCCCTGACACAGCGGTGATGGGCCGATGGTGAAGGACTCCCTCTTGATCTACCTTGACAACGTTGTTGTTTATTCGCTGGACTTTGACAGACATCGAGTCCACCGTCAACAAGTCTTCTAGAAGATACATTAAGCTACATGACCAAGGCTTGGAAATCCTGCCCTTAATTAGAATCAGGTGTGTTAGCTGGGCTCGAAAACTAAAGTGCACTCCCTCTGTGGGTCCCACAGGAATGGATTGAGCAACACTTAATGTAAACTGTCTGACTTATATAACAGTGTAATAACAATGTATTGTAATAACAGTCCACAAAGAATAAATGATAAAACATAACTGGTTTATTTGGCTGCAATTTACCTGATAGTTACCTGATAGAGTCACCTATCAAACAAGTAGACCTGAATTCAACACATATTCATTAAATAAGATTATCATGAAGACATTATGCCCAACAACAATTTATTGCTGTGTCAACAGGTGATTGTTTTTTCGCAAAATACAGCCAAGAAAAACCCAAGATGATAAAACAGTGAATGCCATGTACATTTTCCCCATTATGTAAAAGTGGACAAACATCCTGAGTATGAATAAATAGTTTAGCGTAAAGCTCTGTAGTTGTCGTCAGCTAATGGAACTAAAACAGTTAAAGCATGACTTTAGAAAATGCTCTATGGAAACCATTAAATCATGAAGCCATGCAGTTAAAATAATATTGTCAATTTCAAATAACAATCAATCATGCTTTTTTAACAATCAAACATGCATTGGGTGGTTTCCTACATGTTCTACATCAGCATTTTAGCAATAAAATGTTCTAGTAGTTTGCAGCATATATTAATGAACATTTCCACAGCATTTGAAACATTCCTTCTTCAATCCCTTATACCAAATGAGTGGATATTTCATTAAAGCAAAAGGATACTTTAATGAATAAATAAAACAAAAATTACAATATCACAGCATAAAAGTTCCTTCCTTTATGCTGCCATTGACTGTCAATAAACACAGGCATAATTCAATAGTTTCTATTACGGTTCAAACATTTCAAGCTCAAACTAAAACATTACAAGGCTGTGAGTGCAGGTCAGTGTCACAGTGGTCACGGACAGTTTAGTTTCCTCCTAAATTCATCAACTAAGGCCTGAAGTCATTCAGGGAAACATTTGGAAAGGTACATTGTGTTGTTTATTGTCTAACAATAATAAAGCGATGATATATTTAGAAAAACTACCAAAATCATGCAACTATCATTTTGAACAAACAAGTGCTCTTGATGCGAGTGCTGGTGTTGTGGGTGGGAGATCAGGCACTGGCATCTTGCTTTAGGCGTTGACTACGGGCTTTGTAAACCTCGATGAGTAAATCTTTGACATATTGAATCTCTCGTTCCACTGACTCCGCCTTGTCCCGGAGCTCCCGGTTCTGTCCCTCCAGCCCATGAAGCTCCTCCTCCAGTATGTCCAGCTCCGCCCTCTTACGCAGTCGATACCTGCAGTTTACAAAATACCAGGGTCAGCTTGCACCTACCGTTGGAGCCCCCCCCTCCCTCCATCTTTTCCCCTTATTTTGTCCTTCTCTCACGCCCCACCACAAATGGCAGTTGCCAACCCTGTCCTACACCCACAACATCCCATCTGTCCAAAAAAAAACTACCACAGGCCTTTCTGTATCTTTGTAGAAGCTACCATGTCTGGGTCACTGAGCTACAGTAGGCTGGCAGTTCAATATCAGTTATCTCTAATTATAGAGATAGTTAATGTCATGAATTTAACATGGAGATGTTTTCCCACCCTCATCCCTCAAGTACTAGATTTCCAGATATGTATCTATGAACATCCAAGATAGCAGGACCTATTAGAAGACGAGTTCAGATTTAATCTTTTATAAACACATTTGTAACTAAGCAATTCTAGTAGCACTACCACATCAGTGAAAAGCCAAAGTTATCCCATTCAAACCAGAGATGAGAGAGTCTACAAAAAAGTTCAGTCTTTCAACTTTAAAAGATGAGTTTCCCTGCTGACTTAAAATGTACAGACGTTTCTTTGGTCAGACTCAAAAAAATTACCAAACATTCTATCATCACAGTTTTTATTTAAACATTATAACACAGAGAAAATCAGTACATTTTTCACAACATACCTGTGAGCAGCTGTTTTGTTCTGGTCTCTCTTCTTCTGCTTCCGTTCTCCGGTATGTACTTCCTGAGGGACAGCGACAAGGCCTGGTTTGAGGCAGCTCAGGGAGCATGGATCTTCCTTTAGCCTCTGTGCTGCTTGCCTGTGAATGGGCGAGCCCACCATTGGCCCCTCACTCTCTCCTCTTGACAGGCATTCGTAGCTTTGGTCTCCAAGGCATTCAGGAAAGAGGTAGTGGCCATGCTGGGGCTCTATACCATGTACTTGTGTAGGCTCTTCGATTTCACCTATAAAGCTACGATAAGGCTCTGTATGAGCAACGTTCGGGTGGTGGTGGTAATAGCCATCATTTGCCTCTGGCTCTTGAGGAATATTTTCAGAGAGTCCACCATCTTTGTTGCAATGCAAGACCTCCAGCCCCATACCATCATAACCACTGCCACTAACCTTCATACCATGCATCAACTGTCCTTCTCTCTTGGGGTGGGTATCGAAGGACCCACCCATACAAAAACCTCTGGTCATCTCTTCACTGCAAAAAATGTCCTCTGTAAAACAATAACTTTCCTCTTCCTTCAACGATACACCACATTCTCTGACTTTCTTTACACTGCTAATGCTCTTCCCAACGGTCTTCAATGTAGAACAGTGGTTAACAGCCACCTCTGTGCTTCCTGAGTAACTTCCTTTGGCACTCCAGGTGTCATGCTCAAGTTCCTCTCCAACTTTGTTGACACCATCTGAAACGATTCTTCGGCAAGTATTGTATGAACGATGATGATAGTTGTATGGGGCTGGTCTCGCCATTTTGGGTCTTCCAACGGGACCAGCACAGAAGCTCACCCGGTCGAGTTCCCCTGTTGCCAGAGTAACAACCAGTGGGCTGGTTTCTGATTGGTTGCCACTGTACGAAGCATAGGGCAACTGGTAGTAAGAATGGGCACCCATTGCTTGGGCGCCTTTGTCACATTTTGGTGATTTTTCCAATTTGGTTGAAGTCGATTCAGACCGGAAGTAATCCTCAAGCTGAGCAAGCTCCTCTTGCAAAAGAGAGGTCATGGCCTCCAAGTCAGAGGGCACCTTGACATCATGTTCCAATGGTGAGGGCGGAGAAGATGAGCTAGAAGAGGATTCGGTAGTCGACTGGAACGAAGACAAATCAACTTTTTCCGTCATCCAGTCCGTCTGACCATGACCTATGAAAATTAAAATGTGTTAAAAATATTTAATTTGAATGTCCATATTGTAGGCATAAAAATTTAATGAGGATTAACAAAAACAGTCCTTTAATTTCAGATGATAAATTATGATAAATGTAGAAAAATCTGAAAACGAAGACGATAAACGTAGAAAACAAATGAAGAAAAAATATCCTTGCGAAACTAACCGATCATCTGAAAATGATTGAATGCCATCGTCTTCATTGGGAAAATATCCACTTAGCTTTACTCACTGTACGACATTAGCTCGTACTGCAGTGCGGTTCCACCTGGAATGTGGAAAAATAAAAAAGCGTCTTGCCGTAACTCACCAATTATGTGCGGTCTCTCCAATAACTCCACCCCCTTCCTTCCCCAGGATTGGCTGTTGTTAGCTTGTTGGGGAGAGGGAATAATGAGGTCGACCGTGCAAAAAAGAGGAATTTTCCTGTGAAGGATCGATGCCGCCATCATGTCTTTTATTTCGGTTCAAATTGTGAAATGCACTAAGTGTGCGAGGGTTCGAGAGAAGCGTCACTATGGACAGAGTGGTGGGAACACTTGAAGACCTGTGAATGACAAAAAATACAAATGAAAACAATCAACAACTCTACTGAATTTCCACACACAAACACCCCATTTCACCCCACTGCCACACCCCCAAAACCACCACAGACTAAAAACACCTGTACAAATAGTGTAATTATCAGAGTCTTCACAGACCAAAAATGGTTGAGGATTCCTGATAATTACATGCATGCATAAACCAACATCTCCGTTTTCTTATTATGAAACTACTGAACTTTAGGAAAACAAGTTAGGTTAGGAAATTTGTTTCAGGGCTATATAACACTGTCTCTATGAAAACTCACTCCCCTCATAAATGCAACTATAATATCTCAACAACATATCAAATTGTATTCATTCTAATCCATTTCACAGTCCAGGAGAGCAGTGTCTACAGTATAGTAGACAACTTTCATGTTAGTTAGCCTATGTGTATTATAGATCAAATACCCAAAAATATTCTTATTTTCCTCTCATTCCAACTATTGTTATGTGTTAATGTTTTTAACGTAGAGCAAATTTCTACATTTGAAAAATATAGATTTTACTAGTAAAATGTTTTTCAGTGGCAGTTCTCACTTCTGAGCTCAGTAGGCTACTGTAAAACTGTAGATTCAAAATATCTCTATTAGACCAAAAGGTCATTACAATAACCCCAACATAATTTCAGAAATGGTTAATGAAACAATTACAGTGTCAAAGCTAACATATTCAACACATTATACTTCACAACTACTGTAGTATAAAGAGAACAAACAATTTCACTTACCCCATTATTTCTGAATAGGATAGTTTTTTGGAAGTGCGTTGCAAATGCAAAGCACAACGACTAGAGTGACAGTGAGGTCACTTTAATAAGCCATGTCTTCCTAAGAACACAATGACTTAACATGGACTGTTATGAAGACGATGAGTTGCAAACAGAAAGTTTTGGAATCCGCTACTTCTTCTGGAACTCCTAAAGCCGGACCGTATCACACTGTTACAAATCAATCCGCAGTTTACATTTCACCCCTTTTATCGCGTCATATGCAAGAGACTTTCCACCGTCTGTTATTTTCAAAGGTCATTTTGAAATAAAATGGAAAGAAAACGATGTAACTTTAAATTATTTAAATTGAAAAGCATATAACTACATTTCTACAACCACACTTGTGTTGCAAAAACGTAATTCACCTCTGCATCATGGTATTTTTATGGGTAATATTTCCGAGCTATTGTCTTGTTAGTAAATACATCGTCTCTCACAGAGAATGTCTTACATAAAGCCTTCTGTAATAACGGCCACGGTTTATAAGGGACTATTTAGTCACACACCCGGGAGGAAGGATACAGTCTTGCAGTTGGAAGGTGTAACTTTTGTTGCAGCCTTGTTGCATCAGATACGCAGGGGATTCGTCGAAATGCTGTAAGATTGTGGTCACACTATTGGTTTATCTAGACTGAACCTCTTATTGGTCGATTATGAATTGTCCAATGATTTTTAATTGTCATAGATCCAATATTACTTTTTATACGTGTGTACATGTAGCAAGGAGACAGAGGCCATCTGCCTCTTTCAGTATTTATTATTTCCACCTTAAGACATGACCTCTTTAATAATTATAATAAGAAGGTTGCAACCTATAACTTTACAAATGAGCAACTTCTATTATAAATGTAATGCACTTTAGTGTATTCAACCAGAGAAACACTTAGTAGGCTACCAGCCATTCATTTCATCTCAACTAAAATAGTCAAACTTTTATAAATGTCTTATTTCCATATTCTGTTAATAGAATATTAATACAAGTATAATAATAATTCCAAAGGGCCATATGGTTAGAAAGACAAAAGGACACACAGGAGGTCAGAGCGGCTTACACTTGACTTTATCTCTCATTAGTACAACAGTTACACCGCTCTCTGTCTGGAGTTGCTATGCATTTTCCTCACTGAGAAACCAAAAGCTGATTGAAGCAGCCATGTCTTCCTGTTGCTATAGTAATAGGGAACACTGCCCCCCTTTTAAAATATGTTTTTTTTGGCGTGTCTGTTGCCAAGGGTTTAAAAGAATCCCCTTACCTCTGTGCTTACAATGTTCTTGTTATTGCACTCGTTGCAGTTTTTGTGCATATTTAACCTCTTAATTCTTTGCATTTGTAATATGAGTGTCATGAAGTTCATGAAAATGTCCTGTAGTCATCTGACCCGCTCTACATCTATCCTTTCTCGATGTGTGTAACCTAACCTGCAACCTCTATTCTATTGTAATATATATATATATATATATATATATATATATATATATATATATATATATATATACAAACACACAATGCATTCGGAAAGTATTCAGACCCCTTGACTTTTTCCACATTTTGTTACGTTACAGCCTTATTCTAAAATGTATAAAATAAAATCTTATCAATCTACACACAATACCCCATAATGACGAAGTGAAAACACGTTTTTAGAAAGTTTTGCAAATGTATAAAAAATAAAAATAGAAATACGTATGTATGAGACTCGAAATTGAGCTCAGGTGCATCCTTTCTCCATTTATCATCCTTGGGATGTTTCTACAACTTGATTGGTGTCCACCTGTGGTAAATTCAATTGATTGGACATAATTTTGAAAGGCACACACCTGTCTATATAAGGTCCCACAGTTGACATTGCATGTCAGAGCAAAAACCAAGCCATGAGGTTGTAGGAATTGTCCGTAGAGCTCCGAGACAGGATTGTGTCGAGGCACAGATCTGGGGAAGGGAACCAAAACATTTTTGCAGCATTGAAGGTCCCCAAGAACACAGTGGCCTCCATTATTCTTAAATGGAAGAAGTTTGGAACCACCAAGACTCTTCCTAGAGCTGGCCACCCGGCCAAACTGAGCAATCAGGGGAGAAGGGCCTTGATCAGGGAGGTGACCAAGAACCCGATGGTCACGCTGCCAGAGCTCCAGAGTTCCTCTGTGGAGATGGGAGAACCTTCCAGAAGGACAACCATCTCTGCAGCACTCCACCAATCAGGCCTTTATGGTAGAGTGGCCAGACGGAAGCCACTGCTCAGAAAAAGACACATGACAGGCCGCTTGGAGTTTGCCAAAAGGCACCTAAAGGACTCTCAGACCATGAGGCTCTTTGGCCTGAATGCCAAGCGTCAAGTCTAGAGAAAACCTGGCACCATCCCTACGGTGAAGCATGGTGGTGGCAGCATCATGCTGTGGGGATGTTTTTCAGCAGCAGGGACTGGGAGACTAGTCAGGATCGAGGGAAAGATGAACGGAGCAAAGTACAGAGAGATCCTTGATGAAAACCTGCTCCAGAGCGAAGGTTCACCTTCCAACAGGACAACGACCCTAAGAACACAGCCAAGACAACGCAGGAGTGGCTTTGGGACAAGTCTCTGAATGTCCTTGAGTGTTCCCAGGCAGAGCCCGGACTTGAACCCGATCTAACGTCTCTGGAGAGACCTGAAAATAGCTGTGCAGCAACGCTCCCCATCCAACCTGACAAAGCTTGAGAGGATCTGTAGAGAAGAATGGGAGAAACTACCCAAATACAGATGTGCCAAGCTTGTAGTGTCATATCCAAGAAGACTCGAAACTGTAATCGCTGCGAAAGGTGTTTCAACAAAGTACTGAGTAAAGGGTCTGAATACTTATGTAAATGTGATATTCCGTTTTTTATTTTTAAGAGATTTGCAAAAAAATCTAAAAACCTGTTTTTGCTTTGTCATTATGGGGTAGATGTGTAGATTGATGCGGGGGAAAAACGATTTAATCCATTTTAGAATAAGGCTGTAACGTATCAAAATGTGGAAAAGGTTAAGGGGTCTGAATACTTTCCGAACGCACTGTATGCGTTCAGTAGTCACATATCATCTCGTCTGCCATACCTATATAATTTTATGCTGTATTTTCTTTATTTTCTATGTACATTTCGTTTATGGAAAATAACACAAATCATGTTTTCTGCTGCAGAAGCATTGTCCCTTTTTGAGCATTATTGCCTTCCATCTTTCTGGAACTACTGTACAAGAAGCTTTGAGAGATCTGACCGTACAGCATATAGAGAAACACTTTCAAAGGAAGGCTTGCACTTCGCAAGTATGGCACATTGGTAACAGTTACAGCATAGTTTCATCACCAGCTCACTACGAATCCTGCTTACATTAACTTTTCACAGGGATTGGCAACATGGGAAGCAACACTACAGGTTACTGACAATGCAGGGACACTTTTGATACCTTTAATCCACCCTCCCTCCCACATTACTTGTGTTTAAGATGTAATTGAAGTGATTAAATCCTGTACTGTAATAAACAACGTAATTGCTTCCTTTACTTTGTGTATGTATATTTTGTCAAAATCGTCGTTTACGGAAATTAATTTGTATAGAATAATCCAGAAAAATAAAATCGGAGGCAAATATATAAAGATATATGACCTTTAATTTGATGAAACCTCCTTTTTGAAAGTCAATCATCCCTGAGGAAGCTTGGTAGAAAGAGGGAGTGTCATCCTGTCATCTTATCATGCGGATAGTGTGCTGCATTGTCAAATGTGGTTCAATCACAAGCTGGAACTAAGAACTTTTGCAAGTCTGTATGACATTGAGAAGAATAAATCATCTCTGTGTTGAATTAATACAAATGCTCATACATTACTTACAAAAATACTTTGAATCATATTGACCTTGAGCCTGAATATCAATTTACCATAACATATTTTACCATAAAAGAAAATTAGATGTTTTAAATTGTTCACTGGGCCAAAAGCATCACTTTAGGATATTGTATTTTAATTTGGTTTAACAGTATTTCATACATGCTGAGCTTATTTCCTGTACACAAAAGGTGAATGATGGTGGGGGAACAAAGTGCAGTGTTCTGGAAAGTCTGGTTTGATATGCTTTAGGATATGGGTTGAACTTGAGCAGGAAGAGTGAAGTAGAGGCTAAAGACAATTTTTAAACATGTATTTTCAGGCAAGGCTTCTTAGGTTCTCATTACATTTTATTTCAGTTCTTATTTAATTTCATTAATCATACCTGTGACATTTTGTCCACCTTCGTCTTAAGCTCTCTCACAGTCACCTCCAGTCAGTAACTGATAGTGCTCAGATTGGGGAGGTAGCTAGCATCCTATGCCCCACAGCCCTGACTATGAGCTGACCAGGACCAGGAGAGCTAAGGCAGCAGACCACAAAATAACTGTAAGTTGCTCTGGATAAGAGCGTCTCATAAATGACTAAAATGCCACATGTAAATCTAAAATATGCATCCCAAATGGTACCCTATTCCCTAAATAGTGTAAAAAAAAAATCCAGGGCCCATAGACTCTGGTCAAAAGTCATGCACTATTTAGGGAATAGGGTGCAATTTGGGATGCAACTACTGTATTGTCTGTCACGTTAAAAATGACAAGCATGTCAGTAAGAGCCAAGACAAGCAGTACATCAACAGGACCTGGGTGGAAGACAGTAGGATAGGGAAGATGGTGACACTACCCTCACCACACCAGCCTCTGGGATGACGACAGTATTAATGCTTCGTCGTTATGGAGCCCTATTACAAGCAGTCACTATGGGAAGATCACTGAAGAAGAGCTAAGAAATTAACACATCCTAGACAGTAGTATTTCAAAGGGAGGACATAAGGGTTACAGTTACATGTTCAGATAATGTTACAGCATTACTGAATCTTATTTGAGTACTGCATAACAATATGGGTTGGAATAGACAATGAGCCAGTGATTTCAAGCCATTGTAGTTTCATCACAGAACGTCAAGGAATAATAAGCCTTGTCTTTGATCTTAGAGCCAAAGGGAACAAGTGTTTTACAGTGTTCAAATAATGTTCTTATCTCTCCCTCAGCAACTTACTTACTCCCACTCGACAGTCTATTGTGAATCCCACCCTGAGAATATTTGTGGTGTGCCAGTCCACTAGGGGTTATCCTGAGCGATTATAGATACTAGATACTGGATAGAGAACCCAGAGTGGGTAGGACACAGCAACAGGGACGCTCCTCAACAGCAGTACTGCCATGATCAGTCGCTCCTCCCATGACAACAGGGGCCTTTTGAGCCTCAGCAGCATCTGGGTCTATAGGGAACTAACAGGCAGCAGTAGCCAGCTGCTCTCCTGTGTCATCCACAACCACAGGCTTAATCAGTCCCTCATCAACAGGCCAGCCACGACAAAGTTCCCCAGTACCCATACACAGGTGCGTCCGTACGGCTTCTGTATACTAAAATGAGATGATGTGTGCTCTGATGAAGATTCGTTGTCAAAATGCGTCAATGGACATTTGTTTTTGTTACTCTGATCTTGAACATTTTGACGAAGATGCAGCAGATTCAACTCAATACAGTTGAGTTGTAAGAACAGGTTCACTTCAGAAGGAGTCTCAAGGAAAATATAGAGTAGACTTGTTTTGGCCTCATGATGTGATTCAGATACTGCAATACTATACCCTTGAATTAGATATTGATCAGTATTAGATATTGACCAGAAAGTACTATTATTGTGAATTACATCGTTTAAATACATTAATCTATCAAGTACGCAATGATTACTCAAAATGAGCCCAAACAAGGATCCCTGCCAGGGGTTCTTGATATAATACTGTACTTGAGTCTGCTGCCCTCTTCTGTTACTTGCTGTAGATGACTGTGAAACTGATACATCTTGAATACATTCAGGAGATCCTTGAGTACCACTTCTCTCACTTTTGATCTGTTGAGAAGAAACAAATGATTGGCCAGCAACAACAATTAAGAGCACACATACAACACACACATGTTGAATCTTATGTGTGTGTGTGTATGTGCGTGTGTGTGTGTGTTTGTTTGTGTGGTGCATGTGTGTATGTGCGTGTGTATTTACTGTGCCTTCGGAAAGTTTTAAGACCTCTTTTCTTTTTCCACATTTTGTTTACGTTACAGCCTTATTCTAAAATGGATTAAAAAATATAAAAAAATCAGCAATCTACACACAATACCCCATAATGACAAAGCGAAAACAGGTTTTTAGAAATGTTTGCAAATGTATTAAAAATAAAAAACAGAAATACCGTATTCAGACCCTTTGCTATGAGACTCGAAATTGAGCTCAGGTGCATCCTGTTTCCATTGATCATCCTTGAGATGTTTCTACAACTTTATTGGAGTCCACCTGTGGTGAATTCAATTGATTGGACATAATTTTGAAAGGCACACACCTGTCTATATAAGGTCCCACAGTTGACATTGCATGTCAGAGCAAAAACCAAGCCATGAGGTAGAAGGAATTGTCTGTAGAACTCCGAGATAGGATTGTGTCGAGGCATAGATCTGGGGAAGGGAACCAAAAAATGCTGCAGCATTGAAGGTCCCCAAGAACACAGTGGCCTCCGTCATTCTTAAATGGAAGAAGTTTGGAACCACCAAGACTCTTTCTAGAGCTGGCCACCTGGCCAAACTGAGCAATCGGGAGAGAAGGGCCTTGATCAGGGAGGTGACCAAGAACCCGATGGTCACTCTGTCAGAGCTCTAGAGTTCCTCTGTGGAGATGGGAGAACCTTCTAGAAGGACAACCATCTCTGCAGCACTCCACCAATCAGGCCTTTACGGTAGAGTGGCCAGATTGAAGCCACTCCTCAGTAAAAGGCACATGACAGCCCACTTGGAGTTTGCCAAAAGGCACCTAAAGGACTCTCAAACCATGAGAAACAAGATTCTCTGGTCTGGTGAAACCAAGATTGAACTCTTTGACCTGAATGCCAAGTGTCACGTCTGGAGGAAACCTGGCACCATCCCTACGGTGAAGCATGGTGGTGGCAGCATCATGCTGTGAGGATGTTTTTCAGCGGCAGGGACTGGGAGATGAACGGAGCAAAGTACAGAGAGATCCTTGATGAAAACCTGCTCCAGAGAGCTCTGGAGCTCAGACTGGGGTGAAGGTTCAACAGGACAATGACCCTAAGCACACAGCCAAGACAATGCAGGAGTGGCTTCGGGACAAGTCTCTGAATATCCTTGAGTGGCCCAGCCAGAGCCCAGACTTGAACCCGATCGAACATCTCTGGAGAGACCTGTAAATAGCTGTGCAGCAACACTCCCCATCCAACTTGACAGAGCTTGAGAGGATCTGCAGAGAAAAATGGGAGAAACTCTCCAAATACAGGTGTGCCAAGCTTGTAGCATCATACCCAAGAAGACTTGAGGCTATAATCGCTGCCAAAGGTGCTTCAACAAAGTACTGAGTAAAGGGTCTGAATACTTATGTAAATGATATATTTCATTTTTTAAAATGTATTTTTATACATTTGCAAACATTTCTAAAAACCTTTTTTTGCTTTGTCATTATGGGGTATTGTATGTAGATTGATGAGGGAAAAAAACAATGTAATCAATTTTAGAATAAGGCTCTAACGTAACAAAATGTGGAAAAAGTCAAGGGGTCTGAATACTTTCCGAATGCGCTGTGTGTGTGTCCCTGCGTGTGCATCTTCAAGGCAGAGTGTGGTGTTGTGGTTCACAAGTCTGTAGGAGCTGGGCGTCAAGCCAACAACAATTGTACGGGTCACAAAGTGTTCTCATCTCTGGCCCCATCAAGGGTTATTACTGGACAGGGAAATATGAACAAATCTATAACACACAGTCAACAATTGGTAAATGTCTTCTCACCGAAAGAAAAATAATTTGTATACTGGTTCACATTTCAAATCAAATTTTATTTGTCACATACACGTGTTTACATTTACATTTACATTTTAGTCATTTAGCAGACGCTCTTATCCAGAGCGACTTACAGGAGCAATTAGGGTTAAGTGCCTTGCTCAAGGGCACATTAACGTCATTTAGCAGACGCTCTTAGCCAGAGCGACTCACAAATTGGTGCGTTCACCCTATAGCCAGTGGGATAACCACTTTACAATTGGGGGGGGGGGGGGTAGAAGGATTCCTTTATCCTATCCCAGGTATTCCTTAAAGAGGTGGGGTTTCAAATGTCTCCGGAAGGTGGTGAGTGACTCCGCTGTCCTGGCGTCGTGAAGGAGCTTGTTCCACCATTGGGGTGCCAGAGCAGCGAACAGTTTTGACTGGGCTGAGCGGGAACTATGCTTCCGCAGAGGAAGGGGAGCCAGCAGGCCAGAGGTGGATGAGCGCAATGCCCTCGTTTGCCCTCGTTTGGGCATTGCGGGTGTAGTGAAATGCATTTGATATAGACAGTAGGATGTCTTGAGAAATGTTCATAGCCCTAGAACCGTGTAATAATATCCTGTCCTATCAGACCAAGAGAATGTAGGTGCATGCAGCCTCTTGGGGAGAGGCTTTTCGATATCCGTTGGTAAATTCCTCTGTTTACCTCCCAATGTCTGACTAAGTGCTTTCTGTCTCTCTTCTCAAACCATAATTAGGTGTGCTTGCTGAAAGCCAAGCACAACTTTAGAAATGTTTCATATGTATTATTAATGTGCTTACTTAAGGCAAGACCATTCAAGATCTCTTATATACTCATTAGTGTGCTTGCTGAAGGCAAGACCACACAAGATTTCTTACATGGTTGTATTATTAATGTGCTTGCTGAATGCAAGACAACTCTAGAGTTCTTACATAGTCTTATTATTATTATTATTTGATTTATTTAGCCTGCTCTAGAGCGTAAACAATTTTAGCTATGAATATGAAACCAACTATAATTGATAGCATTTCAACTTTTTGAACAACAATCTTTTTTATGATCTCCAATGTATTTCAATGGCAATAAAGGGAGTCATACAGTGCATTTACACTAGGAAGCGGCATCGAGCAGTGAAACATCGGAAGCCATTCACTTCAATGGAAGGAAAGCGAGAGAAGCGGAATGGGCGGGGGGACCATTGAGTGATGCGAGCATGAGTGAGGGAGCTGAACAGGGTGGGAATAAAGTTGGGGAAAGCTGAACTTTATTCAAATCCTCCGCAATATTGTGACGCGAGTGACCGATCGAAGCTCACGATAGCTTCCAACCCCTACTGGATTTGCTGACAATGGCTGTTAAATAGAAGCACTACCTAGCTTGCTTGCTAGCTTGTTAGCACCCACATGAAGGCGACGCAAGCGTGGCTAGGTGAGTGCCACTTCTACAGTGTAAATGCTCTGATAGAGTTCAATGGTAAAAAAATCTAAAATTCTAGACCTATCTCCTCTTTCACCGCTTAAGCTCCAAACCAATGTTGAGATGTTCAGATTTTATAAAGCTTTTTGATACTATATAAACTTTTTGAAATATAACCATTTTAACATGGGTTTGAATGAGAACCAAATAAAATAAAATCACATTTTGTTTGTTACATGTGCCGAATACAACTGGTGTAGACTTTACCGTGAAATGCTTGCTTTACCGTGAAATGCTTGCTTACGAGCCCTTCCCAACAATGCAGAGTAAAAAAATATATAGAATAGTAACACAAGAGGATAAAAATAAAATACACAAGAATGGAGGAATATACACGGAGTACCAGTACCAGATCAATGTGCAGAGGTACGAGGTATTTGAGGTAGATACAGTATGTACAGTTGAAGTCGGAAGTTTACATACACTTAGGGTCGAGTCATTAAAAGTAGTTTTTCAACCACTCCACAAATTTCTTGTTAACAAACTATTGTTTTGGCAAGTCGGTTAGGACATCTACTTTGTGCATGACACAAGTAATTTTTCCAACAATTGTTTACAGACCGATTATTTCACTTATAATTCACTGTATCACAATTCCAGTGGGTCAGAAGTTTACATACACTAAGTTGACTGTGCCTTTAAACAGCTTGGAAAATTCCAGAAAATGATGTCATGGCTTTAGAAGCTTCTGATAGGCTAATTGACATCATTTGAGTCAATTGGAGGTGTACCTGTGGATGTATTTCAAGGCCTACCTTCAAACTCAGTGCCTCTTTGCTTGACATCATGGGAAAATCAAAAGAAATCAGCCAAGACCTCCGAAAAAAGATTGTAGACCTCCACAAGTCTGGTTCATCCTTGAGAGCAATTTCCAAACGCCTGAAGGTACCACGTTCATCTGTACAAACAATAGTACTCAAGTATAAACACCGTGGGACCACGCAGCCGTCATACCGCTCAGGAAGGAGATGCGTTCTGTCTCCTAGAGATGAACGTACTTTGGTGCAAAAAGTTCAAATCAATCCCAGAACAACAGCAAAGGACCTTGTGAAGATGCTGGGAGAAACAGGTACAAAAGTATCTATATCCACAGTAAAACGAGTCCTATATCGACATAATGACCATCGTTATGTTTGGAGGAAAAAGGGGACAGCTTGCAAGCCGAAGAACACCATCCCAACCGTGAAGCACGGGGGTGGCAGCATCATGCTGTGGGGGTTCTTTGCTGCAGGAGGAACCGGTGCACTTCACAAAATAGATGGCATCATGAGGAAAGAAAATTATGTGGATATATTGAAGCAACATCTCAAGACATCAGTCAGGAAGTTAAAGCTTGGTCGCAAATGGGTCTTCCAAATGGACAATGACCCCAAGCATACTTCCAAAGTGGTGGCAAAATGGCTTAAGGACACCAAAGTCAAGGTAATGGAGTGGCCATCACAAAGCCCTGGCCTCAATCCTATGGAAAATTTGTGGGCAAAACTAAAAAAACGTGTGTGAGCAAGGAGGCCTACAAACCTGACTCAGTTACACCAGCTCTGTCAGGAGGAATGGGCCAAAATTCACCCAACTTATTGTGGGAAGCTTGTGGAAGTCTACCCGAAAAATGTGACCCAAGTTAAACAATTTAAAGGCAATGCTACCAAATACTAATTGAGTGAATGAAAACTTCTTAAAATGTTTAACTTGGATCAAACGTTTCGGGTAGCCTTCCACAAGCTTCCCACAATAAGTTAGGTGAATTTTGGCCCATTCCTCCTGACAGAGCTGGTGTAACTGAGTCAGGTTTGTAGGCCTCCTTGCTTGCACACGCTTTTTCAGTTCTGCCCACAAATGTTCTATAGGATTGAGGTCAGGGCTTTGTGAAGGCCACTCCTTTAACTAAATATACTTTCCTGCAACCCGCCTCACCCAATGTGGAATGGATTCTGTTGTTTCTTCATAAATTTTCATCCAGAACCTCTGGCTGAAACTAGCCAGCTAGCCATCTAACTAGCTACTTGCTATTAGCCACCGTTAGCGGTCTTCACCATTGTCCGAGGCCGTGGCCTGCACTACCTACCAGCCAGCTCTAGCCTGGACAATTGGCGGCCAGTCTGCACATCGCGCTATCGAGCCAGAGCATATCGGTTTTTCACGTGGTGCGGAGACAGATTCTCGCGACGCCACTTGGTAGGAGCGACCGGTCAGGTAGGACGCAATCCAAGAGTGAGCCGCGCCGGAGATGCCCAACTCGGAGACGGTGGAGAGGAGGATCTGATGGTTCACAGTATCAAAGGCAGCAGACAGGTCTAGAAGGACAAGAGCAGAGGAGAGAGAGTTAGCTTTAGCAGTCTCAGTTGAATGACCAGTCTTGAAACCTGACTGGTTTGGATCAAGAAGGTCATTCTGAGAGAGATAGCAAGAGAGTTGGCTAAAGACGGCACGCTCAAGAGTTTTGGAGAGAAAAGAAAGAAGGGATACTGGTCTGTAGTTGTTGACATCAGAGGGATCGAGTGTTGGTTTTTTGAGAAGGGGTGCAACTCTCGCTCTCTTGAAGACGGAAGGGACATAGCCAGCGGTCAAGGATGAGTTGATGAGCGAGGTGAGGTAAGGAAGAAGTTCACCGGAGATGGTCTGGAGAAGAGAGGAGGAGATAGGGTCAAGCGGGCAGGTTGTTGTGCGGCCGGCTGTCACAAGTCGCAAGATTTCATCTGGAGAGAGAGGGGAGAAAGAAGTCAAAGCATAGGGTAGGGCAGTGTGAGCAGGACCAGCAGTGTCATTTGACTGAACAAACGAGGATCGGATGTCGTCAACCTTCTTTTCAAAGTGGTTGACGAAGTCATCCACAGAGAGGGAGGTGGGGGGGGGGGGGGGGGGGAGGATTCAGCAGGGAGGAGAAGGTGGCAAATAGCTTCCTAGAGTTAGAGGCAGATCCTTGGAATTTAGAGTGGTAGAAAGTGGCTTTAGCAGCAGAAACAGATGAAGAAAATGTAGAGAGGAGGGAGTGAAAAGATGCCAGGTCCGCAGGGTCTAGTTTTCCTCCATTTCTGCTCGGCTGCCCGGAGTCCTGTTCTGTGAGCTCGCAATGAGTCGTCAACCCACGGAGCAGGAGGGGAGGACCGAGCCGGCCGGGAGGATAGGGGACATAGAGAGTCAAAGGATGCAGAAAGGGAGGAGAGGAGGGTTGAGGAGGCAGAATCAGGAGATTGGAGGGAGAAGGATTGAGCAGAGGGAAGAGATGATAGGATGGAAGAGGAGAGAGTAGCGGGAGAGAGAGAGCGAAAGTTGCGTCGGCGCATTACCATCTGAGTAGGGGCAGAGTGAGTAGTGTTGGAGGAGAGCGAGAGAGAAAAGGATACAAAGTAGTGGTCGGAGACATGGAGGGGAGTTACAGTGAGATTAGTAGAAGAACAGCATCTAGTAAAGATGAGGTCAAGCGTATTGCCTGCCTTGTGAGTAGGGGGGGACGGTGAGAGGGTGAGGTCAAAAGAGGAGAGGAGTGGAAAGAAGGAGGCAGAGAGAAATGAGTCAAAGGTAGACGTAGGGAGGTTGAAGTCACCCAGAACTGTGAGGGGTGAGCCATCCTCAGGAAAGGAACTTATCAAGGCGACAAGCTCATTGATTAACTCTCCAAGGGAACCTGGAGGGCGATAAATGACAAGGATGTTAAGCTTGAATGGGCTAGTGACTGTGACAGCATGGTCACAGCTCTTATCCGAGCCGACTAGGTGAAAAATCTGTCAATGTGCCCTTGAGCAAGGCACTTAACCCTAATTGCTCCTGTAAGTCGCTCTGGATAAGAGCGTCTGCTAAATGACGTAAATGTAAATGTAAAACATGACTGGGCAGGGGCGGGTGGGCCTTGGAGGGCCCACCAACTTGACAGCCAGGCCCACCCCCTTTTAGGATTTACCTGGTGACGGTCAGCTCGGAGGTGGTAGGAGGGACCACAGAGAAACTTTGTGCTCAGGTCCACCAAGCCACAGAGCCTCTGTTGTTGAAGGTGTTGATGGAGAAGGAGGGTGGCAGCAGCACCATTCTACTGGAGGAAGCCATAAGACAGGACTTCTATCGCTGCACCTCCTTCCAGGTCAGCTGCAACTGTGCTGCGTTCAGCAGGCTACAACGTTGTGGAACGCTCTGATAGAAATATATTATGTAGAACCAACATGCCTCTCTGACATGCAGATTAAGGAATCATGTCAGCTCTATCCATGACATTTCTAACTGTAAAGTTCCACAACGATTTGAGCTACTGAATGTGGCCCTATTCTATCTTCTCACATGCAAAAGCGTCCCGACACAACGTCAACAAGCCAATTTGTTAAATGTTGACGTCATTTGTTTACTTAACTAACACTGACTGGAGCCATCAGCTTTAATAGTAGCTGACACTTTGAATTGGGTCTCTTTCCCATCAGTGTTGGGTGGTACGCAACCTGTGCCTCGCTTCATATTGATTTTAGTTGAACAGTAACCCCCACCAGTTGTACATACACTGAGTATACCAAACATTAAGAACACCTTCCTAATATTGAGTTTTGCCATTAGAACAGCCTCAATTTGTCGGGGAATGGACTCTACAAGGTGTCGAAAGCGTTCCACAGGGATGCTGGCCCAAGTTGGCTGGATGTCCTTTAGGTGGTGGACCATTCTTGATACTCACGGAAAACTGTTGAGTGTGAAAAACCCAGCAGCGTTGCAGTTCTTGACACAAACTGGTGCACCTGTCACCTACCATACCCAGTTCAAAGGCACTTACAGTGCCTTGCAAAAGTATTCATCCCCCTTGGCGTTTTTACTATTTTGTTGCATTACAACCTGTAATTTAAATTGATTTTTGTTTGGATTTCATGTAATGGACATACACAAAATAGTCCAAATTGGAGAAGTGAAATGAAAAAAATAACTTGTTTCAAAAAGTTCTAAAAAATAAATAACGGAAAGTGGTGCGTGCATATGTATTCACCCCCTTTGCTATGAAGCCCCTAAATATGATCTGGTGCAACCAATTACCTTCAGAAGTCACATAATTTGTTAAATAATGTCCACCTGTGTGCAATCTAAGTCACATGATCTGTCACATGATCTCAGTATATATACACCTGTTCTGAAAGGCCCCAGAGTCTGTAACACCACTAAGCAAGCGGCACCATGAAGACCAAGGAGCTCTCCAAACAGGTCAGGGATAAAGTTGTGGAGAAGTACAGATCAGGGTTGGGTTATAAAAAAATATCTGAAACTTTGAACATCCCACGGAGCACCATTAAATCCATTATTAAAAAATTGAAAGAATATGGCACCACAACAAACCTGCGAAGAGCGGGCCACCCACCAAAACTCACGGACCAGGCAAGGAGGGCATTAATCAGAGAGGCAACAAAGAGACCAAAGATATCCCTGAAGGCGCTGCAAAGCTCCACAGCGGAGATTGGAGTATCTGTCCATATGACCACTTTAAGCCGTACACTCCACAGAGCTGGGCTTTACGGAAGAGTGGCCAGAAAAAAGCCGTTGCTTAAAGAAAAAAATAAGCAAACATGTTTGGTGTTTGCCAAAAGGCATGTGGGAGACTCCCCAAACATATGGAAGAAGGTTGTCTGGTCAGATGAGACTAAAATTGAGCTTTTTGGCCATCAAGGAAAACGCTATTTCTGGCGCAAACCCAACACCTCTCATCACCCTGAGAACACCATCCCCACAGTGAAGCATGGTGGTGGCAGCACCATGCTGTGGGGATGTTTTTCATCGGCAGGGACTGGGAAACTGGTCAGAATTGAAGGAATGATGGATGGCGCTAAATACAGGGAAATTCTTGAGGGAAATTCTTGACCCTAAGCATACTGCTAAAGCAACACTCGAGTGGTTTAAGGGGAAACATTTAAATGTCTTGGAATGGCCTAGTCAAAGCCCAGACCTCAATCCAATTGAGAATATGTGGTATGACTTAAAGATTGCTGTACACCAGCGGAACCCATCCAACTTGAAGGAGCTGGAGCAGTTTTGCCTTGAAGAATGGGCAACAAGCCCAGTGGCTAGATGTGCCAAGCTTATAGAGACATACCCCAAGAGACTTGCAGCTGTAATTGCTGAAAAGGGCTCTACAAAGTATTGACTTTGGGGGGGGGGGGGGGGTGAATAGTTATGCACGCTCAAGTTTTCTGTTTTTTTTTCTTATTTCTTGTTTGTTTCATAATAAAATTCTTCAAAGTGGTAGGCATGTTGTGTAAATCAAATGATACAAAACACCCCAAAATCCATTTTAATTCCAGGTTGTAAGGCAACAAAATAGGAAAAATGCCAAGGGGGGTGAATACTTTCGCAAGCCACTGTAAATCTTTTGTCTTGCCAATTCACCCTCTGAATGGTGCACATACACAATCCATGTCTCAATTGTCTCAAGGCTTAAAATTATTATTTAACCTGTCTCTTCCCCTTCATCTACACTGATTGAAGTGGATTTAACAAGTTACATTAATAAGGGATCATGGCTTTCACCTGGATTCACCTGGTCAGTCTATGTCATGGAAAGAGCAGGTGTCCTTAATGTTTTGTATACTCTGTGTATGTCAGCTTACAGTTGATAGAAACTCCTGACTCTTCTGTACTGGTCATTCTTTATCATCATCTAAACAAAATACTATTCTTACTTGACTCAAGCTAGCTATGCACATTCATTCAACAACACTCATTCATTTCAGCCTTTTATTCTGAATAGTTTGGTTGTAACTCAGTCATGTTGTGTTGCACTCAACTTGGATTCCAGGCTGTATGACAAATGATCCAACCTATGAAATGTAATAGCAGTTATTTTAACCTCAGCATAGCTAAGAATGATTTATCTACCTTTTTTAACAAAAAGCCCTCTGTTCTCAAGCTACTCAGTCAGGAGAGCCAAGCTATGGTTAGGAGCTAGAGAATTGTAGAACTTCTAACAAGCTTCCATTGTTCTGTTCTTCATGTTGTAGGTACCCCCAGTGAAGGCTGACAGTGTGGCCACTGTCCATGTTAGCATCAAGGGGAGGAAGGAGGAGATGAGCAAAAACACCAAGATCCTTATCAAGGCCAAAAGTTTCCTCACCATTTTCCAGATGGACAAACCAGTCTACAAACCTGGACAGACAGGTACAGTACATTCGGAAAGTATTCAGACCCCTTCCCTTTTTTCCCACATTTTGTTATGTTACAGCCTTGTTCTAAAATTGATTAAGGCACATGACAGCCCGCTTGGAGTTTGCCAAAAGGCACCTAAAGGACTCTCAGACCATGAGAAACAAGATTCTCTGGTCTGATGAAACCAAGATTGAACTCTTTGTCCTGAATGCCAAGCGTCACGTCTGGAGGAAACCAGGCATCATCCCTATGGTGAAGCATGGTGGTGGCAGCATCATGCTGTGGGGATGTTTTTCAGCGGCAGGGACTAGTCAGCATCGAGGGAAAGATGAACGGAGCAAAGGACAGAGAGATCCTTGATGGAAACCTATTCCAGAGCGTTCAGGACCTCAGACTGGGGCAAAGGTTCACCTTCCATCAGGACAATGACAGTCAAGACAACGCAGGAGTGGCTTCGGGACAAGTCTCTGAATGGCCTTGAGTGGCCCAGCCAGAGCCCAGACTTGAACCCGATCGAACATCTCTGGAGAGACCTGAAAATAGCTGTGCAGCAACGCTCCCCATCCAACCTGTCAGAGCTTGAGAGGATCTGCAGAAAATAATGGGAGAAACTCCCCAAATACAGGTGTGCCAAGCTTGTAGCATCATACCCAAATGTGCAAAAAAAATCAAAATGGCTTTTTTTGCTTTGTCATTATGGGGTATTGTGTGTAGATTGATGAGGGGAAAAAACGATGTAATCCATTTTAGAATAAGGCTGTGACGTAACAAGTCAAGGGGTCTTAATACTATATGAATGCACTGTGGTTAGATAAAATGTTTGATGAACACTGAAACTGTTAATAATGTTGAATGATGATTATACATACTTGACAGTATATTTGTGAGGCCATAAGCTTGAGGAAAGGTCATTACTGAAATGGATGATAGATATACTGTACACTGTGTATAGACAGATGCTATATAGACAAATGTTTTTACCGCTTTTCCAGTCAAGTTCCGAATCGTCTCGCTGGATGCTAGTTTCTTGTCATTCAATCAGATGGTAAGTTATTCTTTCAGTGTTGTTCAATAAAAATAAAGTTACTCTTTCAAAGCATTTTTAAGTTTGGTTGTACAGGACAGCCCAGTGTTAGTCACCATTGTAACATTCTAGGGAGGTGCTGTGTCATTTTGGGAGAGGTTTACTGTAGTTGAGTAAGGAAGGGAATTGATAGAGCAATGATTTCATTCTCTTGCAGTCTTGCATTTTGTTGATTTTTCTTTTTTTAATGGGGCAGTGTGGGTGAGTCAGTGTGTGTGTCGCTGGCTCAGCAAACATGTGGTCAAAGTTCATTTGGCCTGGCTGTTTGATCAGAGCATCTGAATCAACATGAACTCAAGGCCTGCTCTGTACTGTGGCTCTGTAGATAAAGATGCCTGTATTGTAGAAACTGTTTTGGAACGTTAGAAAATAATGTTTTAAACCCTTTTTCTGACACCATAGTAGTTCCCTGTAGGCCTACTGTAAAAAAAAACAATTCTGGGAAGTAATACATTGGCCCAATGTAAATGCTGAATATTTGTTTCTCTTTTCTAGTATCAAACAGTGGAACTTCAGGTGAGACTCATTCAAATCTATCGCACCTAAAAAACCAAAGCTGAATATACAACATGAGCAATAATAATGACATGATCTCCCTTCAAAAATAATACATGCCAATATGTACTGCGGCATGAATTGATACAATGCCTGCCTCTATAACAAAAATAACTTCCTTCAACCTACTGTGAATCTGTACACAGGACCCCAAACACCTCCCTCTGCAACTGGATCCTGGACTTCCTGACGGGCCGCCCCCAGGTGGTAAGGGTAGGTAACAACACATCTGCCACACTGATCCTCAACACGGGGGCCCCTCAGGGGTGCGTGCTCAGTCCCCTCCTGTACTCTCTGTTCACCCATGACTGCATGGCCAGGCACGACTCCAACACCATCATTAAGTTTGCCAACGACACAACAGTGGTAGGCCTGATCACCGACAACGATGAGACAGCCTATAGGGAGGAGGTCAGAGATCTGGCCGTGTGGTGCCAGGACAACAACCTCTCCCTCAACGTGACCAAGACAAAGGAGCTGATCGTGGACTACAGGAAAAAAAAGAGGACTGAGCACGCCCCCATTCTCATCGACGGGGCTGTAGTGGAACAGGTTGAGAGCTTCAAGTTCCTTGGTGTCCACATCACCAACGAACTATCATGGTCCAAACACACCAAGACAGTCGTGAAGAGGGCACGACAAAGCCTATTCCCCCTCAGGAGACTAAAAAGATTTGGCATGGGTCCTCAGATCCTCAAAAAATTCTACAGCTGCACCATCGAGAGCATCCTGACTGGTTGCATCACCGCCTGGTATGGCAACTGCTTGGCCTCTGACCGCAAGGCACTACAGAGGGTAGTGCGTACGGCCCAGTACATCACTGGGGCAAAGCTCCCTGCCATCCAGGACCTCTATACCAGGCGGTGTCAGAGGAAGGCCCTCAAAATTGTCAAAGACTCCAGCCACCCTAGTCATAGACTGTTCTCTCTGCTACCGCACGGCAAGCGGTACCGGAGTGCCAAGTCTAGGTCCAAAAGACTTCTCAACAGCTTCTACCCCCAAGCCATAAGACTCCTGAACAGCTAATCATGGCTACCCGGACTATTTGCACTGCCCCCCCACCCCATCCTTTTTACGCTGCTGCTACTCTGTTAAGTATTTATGCATAGTCACTTTAACTCTACCCACATGTACATATTACCTCAACTACCTCAACTAGCCGGTGCCCCCGCACATTGACTATGCAACGGTACCCCCCTGTATATATAGCCTCCCTACTGTCACTTTATTTTACTGTATATATAGCCTCCCTACTGTCACTTTATTTTACTTCTGCTCTTTTTTTCTCAACACTTTTTTGTTGTTGTTTTATTCTTACTTTTTTGTTTAAAATAAATGCACTGTTGGTTAAGGGCTGTAAGTAAGCATTTCACTGTAATGTCTGCACCTGTTGTATTCGGCGCATGTGACCAATAAAATTTGATTTGATTTGATTTGATTTGATTTGAACTCCAATCGCATTGCTCAGTGGTTGAACCAGTCAACAGTGAGTGGAATTCTGCACCTGTCACACCCCATGTCCGCAGAGGCAACACAAGGAAGTTACATCATCACTGCATGGAATGAGAAGGGAGAACAAACCTCCCAAAACTTTGACATCAAAGAATATGGTGATGCCTTCTGTCTGATGATTCTATTGTGGTTACATTGTTTTTACATTTTGATTACATGGTGATTAAATTGTGGTCTGTGATTTTTTTTTGGTGTAGTTCAACAGACAATGAGGAAGTAATATCGTTCTGTCATTTTTGCAGTGTTGCCCAAGTATGAGGTGAAAGTCCATTTTCCCCAAACAATAACTATTCTGGACAAGCAAGCAACACTGAGAGTTTGTGGAAAGTAAGTGAATAAGATGATCGAGCATGATAGACAATAAGAATATCAAGCATGATAGACAATGTTATGATGAGTTTCTCAGGTATCAAAGAATCAAGGATGCAAGGATATACTTAGACATTCTGTGGAGATTTCATACCAAGTATTTATTGAATCACGAGCTCGTGGGTTCATCTAACCAACGGACATAGCTTTGCCCTTCGTCAGTTGAACTCAATGAACAAAGAAGACACTCTACCTTATATACCCTTTATTACCCTCTTCCTGGCATACATCTGGCAAGTCTCCATGGGCACTCCCTGTCTTTGATGTTCATCACTCTTTACCTTAAGTCACTATCCTAAACATCACTCATGCTATCCTAAACATCACTAATCTACCTTGACATAATGGAATGTAGACTTTCTGTCTCCTAACCACTCATCTAGTAACTCTAACCTGTTCCCCACGATACTATGACATGACATCATTATACCATAAAACATCATATCAGACAATAAGATGATAGAGCATGATAGACAATAAGATGATAGAGCATGATAGACAATAAGGTGATAGAGCATGATAGACAATAAGATGATAGAGCATGATAGACAATAAGATGATAGAGCATGATAGACAATAAGATGATAGAGCATGATAGACAATACGATGATAGAGCATGATAGACAATAAGATGATAGAGCATGATAGACAATAAGGTGATAGACAATAAGATGATAATGACCAGCAAGATAATGATAATGACAAACAAGCTTTTAAACAGGGACATTTATGGACAGAATATTAAGACCGACTTAATTTGTGTGTTGCATAGACTATACTTTATAGATACTGTCCCATGTTTGTTACTTGCTCATGTTCATAGCTGTTTCTATTTTTTCAACACACGTATTTGCCATAATTGAATTGTCATTCTTCTGGTGACTTTGTTTCTAGATACACTTATGGAAAACCAGTGATGGGGTCTGTCACGGTGAAAGTTTGCAGAAATGCCATTCGATATCAATGGTTTTATGGTTCTATTAATATCTGCGAGTTGTATCTTATGAAAGTAAGTATTTTGTATTCTTGTTACGCCAAATTGTTTGATTATGAAAAACACTCACTGTGCGGAAAATTGAGGTTTATGGAAGCATGTTTTTGTAGCCGAGCTAAGCTGACCTACAACAACTGTTCTCATTCACCCTAGACCGACAAAACTGGTTGTGCAACCAAAATAATCGATTTGACCCGGCTCGGTCGAAATCAATATTTTGGGGACTTCGAAGTGGAGGCTGAGATGGAGGAATACGGAACGGGTAGGAGAGAACTTTATCTTTAACGTAGGGGTGTTTACATGCTCAACTGTTGACCTCTGACCCTTGCCTGTGTTCTCTCCAGGTGTCATCCTTAAAGGTAGTGGAAAGGCAAGCTTCACCAATGTCATCATAACTGTTAGTTTTGAGGACGTACCCCAAGCATATAAACCAGGGATTGCATACGAGGGGAAGGTGAGGACAAAATATATGAACAAATGCCTTTTTAATAACACTGCAGGGAAACGAATTGCTCAGAAAAATCTTTGTGAAAGCAGTTGTGATAAATGTTAACGTATAATTTGGAGCATCTAAACCATGCTTTTGATGTGTTGTATGCAATGGGAGTACACATTTAGTATATTGGATGTCTGCAGTCATCCTGTCCTGTGTTTTCAGATCAAAGTGACTGGTCCAGACTCTACTCCTGTTCCCAATGAGCCTGTGTATCTCTTCCTACAAAACAATGGCAAATCTGAGAACTGGAATCTCACCACAGACAGCAAGGGCATTGCTTCTTTCTCTCTAGACACTTCTCTATGGAGTTCTGAGTCTGTGTCTCTGTCGGTCAGTTTTCACTCACTCACTCATGTTTTACTCTATTAAATATTTAATGATATATTATTTAAATATTAAATTGTTTGTTCTGACTGAGATCATAAATTTTTCCTGTTGTATTCTCCAAGGTTACTACAATGTTCTGTATTTCTTGAACCAGGCTCGCTATCAAAAGGTTGAGGAGGATTATCCATACGAGCAGGGTCTGCGTAGACCAGTATATACATCCGCTTACCATTTGGCAAGGAAATTCTATTCCAGGAGCAAGAGCTTTGTGAAGATAATGCAGGGCGAAGGGAAGTTCTCCTGTGAGAAAAACGGTATTGTTTTTGCTCGCTACATCATCCAAGGGGTGGAGCTGATAAAGGGACAGAAGACCCTGGACTTTTTCTATCTGGTAAGGTTAAAGGGATGTTCCACTCAAAATACAACCTAATGTGATTTTCCCACTTACTTTGTCTGTAGTTTTGGGATATATATATTGCTTACTTCTGTATTTGATTGTCATGTTGTGTCTGGAAATATTTGAAGAATGACTCAGGAAAACCGTACAGTACTTTACATGCAGTTGAAAAGTTAATCATGGGTGATATACAGTAATTTAACACTTTAATAATGTAACTTGAAGATATTTGTATCAGATCTCCCAGGTTTTAGCCAATGTTCCTGTCTCCCTGGGTCATTATCTGGTTATTAATGTTGATGATAACACTTGGCTGTCTCTTATGTCCCAGGTTATATCTAGAGGCAGCATTCAGCAGCATGGCCGTCTTCCTGTGACCGTTAACGACGGAAAAGGTAAATTAATTGGTCTTGGATTCTCCGGAATGCTTCCTGACATTTTTCTTTAGGACTTCACAGAACCCCACTTGATTAGAGAACATACCTCCTCGAAAGGCCTAATGGCATTAAACTGGCATTGGATGAAAATCTGTCATGACAGGATTCAATCATCCAGATTACATCTTCAATACAAGTTGTTACTGCACAGTGCACAGTATATTTAAATGGCATAGACTAATCACAGAACACGATGTCCGTATTGGATGATCTGTGGTTTACGGTGACTTAATGTCAATCCCATTGTCCGTCTCTCATGTTAGTAAACCAAGGGGAGCTGACGCTCTCGCTGCAGCGGATGCCTGAGCTGACCCCTTTTGCCCAGGTGGTGGTGTACACCATGCTGCCTGGTGGGGAGGTAGTAGCAGACAGCCAAGACTTCCCCATTCACCTCTGCCTGAAAAACAAGGTAGGCAAAAAATCTTTTGCCAGCTACATGAAATGTCAAAATGTCACATCAGAGAGCCTGAGCCATATGGATATATCGCGGCAACGTGCACTACAATCGATTTCCAAAATGACTTTGCATCAGTATATGAAATGAAATGCTTCAACTGCACCTCTTGGATCATCACAAATCCGTTGGGTCTGTTTTTATCCCTTTAAACAGTACTGTAGCATTATGATATGTGGGCTCTGTTGCAATATTCACATCAGTATGCTACTGTACTTTAAGTGAACCAATGTGTTGGACATGTATGGTTGTATACAGTGCCTTCAGAAAGTATTCACACCCCTTTACTTTTTCCAAATGTTGTGTTACAGCCGGAATTTAGAATTGATTGAATTGAGATTTTGTGTCACTGATCCTCATTCTGTTTGCAACAAGGCACTTAAGTAATACCCCAAAAATATGGCAAAGAAATTAACTTTTTGTCCTGAATACAAAGCGTTATGTTTGGGGCAAATCCAACAAAACGCATAGTACCACTCTTCATACTGTATTTTCAAGCATGGTGGTGGCTGCATCGTGTTATGGGTATGCTTGTCATCGGCAATCAGAAGAAACGGAATACAGCTATAAGCACAGGCAAAATCCTGGAGGAAAACATTTTTCAGTCTGCTTTACAACAGACACTGGCAAACAAATTCACCTTTCAGCAGGACAATAACCTAAAACACAAGGCCAATTCTATGCTGGGGTTGCTTACCAAGAAGACATTGAATGTTCCTGAGTTACAGTTATGACTTAAATCGACTTCAAAATCTATGGCAAGACTTGAAAATGGCTGTCTAGCAATGATCAACAATCAACTTGACAGAGCTCAAATAATTTGTAAAAGAATAATGGGCAAATATTCTACAATCCAGGTGTGCAAAGCTCTTAGGGACTTAACCCCCAAAAATACTCACAGCTGTAATCGCTTCCAAAGGTGCTTATACAAAGTATTGACTCAGGGTGAATACTTATGTAAATGAGAAATTTCATTTTAAATATATGTGCGAAAATGTCTAACACGTTTTCACTTTGTCATTGTGGGGTATGGTGTGTGTGGGTGTAAAAGTGGGTGAGAAAAAACATATATTAAATCCATTTTGAATTCAGGCTGTAACACAACAAAATGTGGTAGAAGTCAATGGGTATGAATACTTTTTGAAGGCACTGTAGATATATTTAAACAAAGCTGTGATGTGTCCCCCTTTTCTCCTCTCCAGGTGTCCCTGAAGTTCTCATCCCTCCAGGAGTTGCCAGAAGAGAAGACCTCTCTGAGCCTCCAGGCCCACCCAGGGTCTCTGTGTTCTGTCAGGGCCATTGACCAGAGTGTGCTGCTGCTGCAGCCTGAACAGGAGCTCAGCCTAGACTCTGTACGTTGTCCATGCATGCGTCCCAAATAGCACCCTATTCCAAATGTAGTGAACTACTTTTGACCAGGGACTCAAAAGGGGTTTGGTCAAAAGTAGTGCACTATATAGGGAATAGGGTGCCATTTGGGACAGTACACAGCCCATCACAATCACTTACTAACCTTTGACTCACCACACAAAGCTGAAGCTTAACCACGATCACACAAATCCTCCTTTGGCATTGTTTTTGTGCACCCATGTATTTCAAGATAGGCTTTGGCTCACTTTCAGCTTCCTCTAACAATGTTTTAACTACTGTCTGATACTTAAAGTTTAAACTTCTGGGACTATTCCATTGGTTTTCTTGTACCACTCAAGCTTAGTCGAGTGCAGATCAAGTATTTGCTATATGTATTTAACCCAGGTGTTATCCTATGCGCTGACCTTGTCCTGACTATGTACTGGCCCTGTAACCTCTGATCACTTTCTGAACAAACTCTGACCATGCACCGACCACGCTCTGACCGTGTCAAGATGCTGCGGATGATCAAGTCAGTATTACTAGAGTTATATTACTTATCTCTCTGCAGGTCTTTAGTCAGCTGCCTGTTCAGAAGTTGTCTGGATATTCATACAGAGTAGAAGACTCCTACCCATGCCTACCATATCCTCCAATCATTAAAAAGGAGATGGAGGTGCCCCCTCCACCTGTACCTAAACTGGCCGAGGAGTTGGAAGCACCACCCGTACCTGATAGGAAAAAACGCTCATTCTGGTTTGGCCCCAACAACGACAAAAACGACGTTTACAACATCTTTAAAGTAAGAGGCTCAAATAAGTTTGCTGTTTTTGTCTGTTTGGGATATGGAAAATGTATGTATATATATACTTAATATTTATTTAAGTAAGAGGTTCAGGCTAAAATGGCGTCTTTTTGACGTAGACACTGAATGAATTCAAATTCTGTGAAGTGAGGATTCAGAAATAAGTAGAACGACATATACACAGTGTCTACGAAAATGTTTGGGTTTTAAATCTAATTCCAACTTCCTAAAATTAAAAGTACAGAAAATTACAGAAAATTACAGAAAATTCTAAAACAGTGTCCGGAAGGAAACGCCATATCATCATCAGTTTTGCTAAATTATGTTTGGGTTTTAAATCTAATTCCAACTTCCTAAAATTAAAAGTACAGAAAATTCTAAAACAGTGTCCGGAAGTAAACGCCATATCATCATCAGTTTTGCTAAAATGGCGTCTTTTTGACGTAGACACTGAATGAATTCAAATTCTGTGAAGTGAGGTTTCAGAAATAAGTAGAACGACAGATACAGTGTCTACGAAAATGTTTGGGTTTTAAATCTAATTCCAACTTCCTAAAATTAAAAGTACAGAAAATTCTAAAACAGTGTCCGGAAGTAAACGCCATATCATCATCAGTTTTGCTAAATTATTTTTGGGTTTTAAATCTAATTCCAACTTCCTAAAATTAAAAGTACAGAAAATTCTATAACAGTGTCCGGAAGTAAACGCCATATCATCATCAGTTTTGCTAAATTATGTGATATGGCGTTTACTTCCGGACACTGTTTTAGAATTTTCTGTACTTTTAATTTTAGGAAGTTGGAATCAAGATCCTGACCAACTTCGACGTGAAAAAAACTTTTGACTGTAACGTACACGTTACACACTCTATGGAATATGGCACAATGGAAGAAGAGGGTATGATACGCTAATGTGTAAACCTTTCTTGTCTTAACCTAATAAAGGATTGGTTTCTATGTACATATATCTGATGTAAATCTGTAGGTAAAATGGTTGCTCTAGTATCAAACACCAACATGATGACAGAGACCTCAGCCGTTGTAGCCTCTGACGGGCCTGAGGAGACCGTCCGCACATACTTCCCTGAGACCTGGATCTGGGACCTGGTGCCTGTGGGGTAAGCATTGTAACAGACACCATATTTGTAGTCCAATTTCTATTTAATTTAACGCACATTCCTTTTCGTGGCGTGCTGAGCTGATGATGCCTTGTAATAGGGTAATACTGAAACTACAGGCACGTTTTTGTCCAAAGGGTCGTTTTTTAAGGGGGGAATATTTTTATTTAACCTTTTTTGAATTGACCATAAATCATGTGTTCTAATGTTAATATATATTTTGTTTTTATTGCACCCTTTTCACCACCACCAGAGATACAGGAAAAGTGAACGTTGAGAAGACTGTCCCAGACACCATCACTAAGTGGGCTGCAGGGGCATTCTGTACTTCCCCAGTGGGTTTTGGCCTGGCTCCCAACACTGGCCTCACTGCCTTCCAACCCTTCTTTGTGAGTCTGACGCTGCCCTACTCTGTCATCCGGGGGGAGGTGTTCACACTCAAGGCCACAGTGTTCAACTACCTCTCCAAGTGTATCATGGTAAGCCCGCCCAGTATTGTCTCTTTCTTTACCTCTCCAAGTGTATCATGGTAAGCCCTCCCAGTATTGCCTCTTTCTTTACCTCTCCAAGTGTATCATGGTAAGCCCGCCCAGTATTGTCTCTTTCTTTACCTCTCCAAGTGTATCATGGTAAGCCCGCCCAGTATTGTCTCTTTCTTTACCTCTCCAAGTGTATCATGGTAAGCCCTCCCAGTATTGTCTCTTTCTTTACCTCTCCAAGTGTATCATGGTAAGCCCTCCCAGTATTGTCTCTTTCTTTACCTCTCCAAGTGTATCATGGTAAGCCCTCCCAGTATTGTCTCTTTCTTTACCTCTCCAAGTGTATCATGGTAAGCCCTCCCAGTATTGTCTCTTTCTTTACCTCTCCAAGTGTATCATGGTAAGCCCTCCCAGTATTGTCTCTTTCTTTACCTCTCCAAGTGTATCATGGTAAGCCCTCCCAGTATGGCCTCTTTCTTTACCTCTCCAGTCCCACTTCATTTGGATAGTCCCTGTAGACCAGGGGTAGGCAACTAGATTCAGCTGCTGGATGATTTTTGTTGGAGTGGTCGGGGGGACGGAAAATAATAATAATAATTTGTACTCTGCTAACTAAGCCCAAAAAGAGGTTGTATTTGAAAATAACTATTGAATGTGAATAATTGGGAATAGATTTCCTAAATTAAACTCATTTTAAGCTGAATTCCTGGTGATTTAAAATATATACAGTACCAGTCAAAAGTTTGGACACACCTCATTCAAGGGTTTTTCTTTATTTGTACTATTTTCTACATTGTAGAATAATAGTAAAGACATCAAAACTATGAAATAATACATATGGAATCATGTAGTAACCAAGTGTTACACAAATCAAAATATATTTTAGATTTTAGATTCTTCAAAGTAGCCACCCTTTGCCTTGATGAGCACTTGTTGGCTGCTTTTCCTTCACTCTGCGGTCCAACTCATCCCAAACCATCTCAATTGGGTTGAGGTCGGGTGATTGTGGAAGCAAGGTCATCTGATGCAGCAGTCATCACTCTCCTGGGTCAAATAGGCCTTACACAGCCTGGAGGTGTGTTTTATGTTTTATTGTCCTGTTGAAAAACAAATGATAGTCCCACTAAGCGCAAACCAGATGGGATGGCGTATCGCTGCAGAATGCTGCGGTAGCCATGCTGGTTAATTGTGCCTTGAATTCTAAATAAATCACAGGGAGGGAGGGAGGGAGGGAAGGAGGTAGGGTGTGCGGGCGGGAACGAGGGGAGGGGAGGGGAGGGAGGGAGGGAGGGAGGGAGGGTGGGCGGGGAACGAGGGAGGGGGAAGGAACGAGGAGGGAGGGAGGGTTGACGGGAACGAGGGGAGGGAAGGAACGAGGGAGGGAGGGGGGGGCGCGGGGGAGGGGAACGAGGGGAGGGAAGAACGAGGGAGGGGGGGCGGGAAGGGAATTGAGGGGAAGGGAAGGGAGGGAGGGAGGAAGGGAGGGAGGGAGGGAGGGAGGGAGGGAGGGAGGAGGGAGGGAGGGAGGGAGGGATGGAGGGCGGGTTAACGACGGGAGGGAGGGTGGGCGGGGGAACGAGGGGAGGGAAGGAACGAGGGAGGAGGGAATGGAGTGGCGGAGGGAACGAGGGAGGGAGGGATGGAGGGTGGGAACGAGGGATGGCGGGCGGGAACGAGGGAGGGAGGGAGGGAAGAAGGAAGGAAGAGACGAGGGGACGGGGAGGGAGGGAGGGAAGGAAGGAAAGGGAGGGAGGGAGGGAGGGAAGGAACGCAGGGAACGAGGGAGGGAGGGAATGAGGGAAGGATGGAAAGAGATAAGGAACAAGGGAGGGTAGGGAGGGAAGGAACGAGGGAGGGAGGGAGGGAAGGGACGAGGGAGGGGGGTAGGGAAGGAACGAGTGAGTGAGGGAGGGAGGGAATGAGGGAGGGAGGGAACAGTTGAACCATGGTACAATGGTGACCAAGAGGAGAGGAGAGGCTAGAGGATGAGAGGGTGATAGGTTGCTAGCTGATGGAGGGGCAGGTTGATGGATGACTGGTCCTGACATGCATGTTATTGTCTCCCTGGCCTGAACTATAGGGGAGGTGAGTTTGAAAGTGAGTGCCGAGGCATTGAAGACTGAGAAGTTCTGCGGCAGCGAAGTGGCCACGGTCCCAGAAAAAGGATGCATTGACACCATTGTGCAAACACTGCTGGTAGAGGTGAGTGTCTGTCCTGTATAGAAAGTCCACTGTTAGTCCACACTAGGGCGAGGGTAAATACATTAGAATAGATATCCCATGCTATTGTATGTTTGGTATTTTGATGAGGAGACCAGCATGTTTTGGTGTTTTAAGCCCAAATGCAGTTAGTCACCGCCTCATGCATAATAAATAAATTGAAAATATTTTTAAAAGTTTGAATAAAGATTCTATCTGGGAATTACTTAATGCAAATATTTTCCATTCATTTTGGATTGAGCCATATAGCTGGACTGACACAACAGACGGCCTGGGACGTAGACTTATTAAATAAAAATGGACTTATCTTAACATTAGTCTACTTTTCATATCTAAAATATTTAATTAACCTTTAAATGGTTACCATATAAATTCTATGATAGAATTAAACAGAGTTGTCATCATTAGACAGTTTATTATTTTGGTGCTCTTTTACCTGAAGAAAGCCAGTGGTCTGTCTTTTCTCAATGTCACTTTCCCTCTATCAGGCCGAGGGAACCCAGGAGACCGTCAGCCACAACGCCCTGCTCTGCCCTGCAGGTTATCTCCTGACCTCTATCAGTCATTTTACTTTCTCATAATTACCCTGATGATTATGTTGACGTGCATTTGTTTTGGTTTAGATGACAGATATGTTTTAAGTGGAACTTGTGATTGTTTATAATTTGTTATAACGGTTCGCAAGTCACTCACGGTCTGTCTCGTTCATCTGTCTCGCGTCACCAGAAGGCCCAGTGGAGAAGGACATCTCTCTGAAGCTGCCTGAGGTGTTTGTGGTGGGCTCTGCCAAGGCCTCCCTCTCAGTACTGGGTGAGAATACTCCATCTGTTTGGCTGAGTTTTCACACCTAATTCTAAGTTTTGTCAAATGTTCAGGATATGTTTTCCATTTTGGTGCAGATAGGCAAGTGTAGGAAAGGATTGTTCATCCCTCTTCATGACGAGGGAAGTGACTATTCAAGTATTCAACCTGCCGATCTATGACTGCCTTAAGGTTATGTGTGACGATAGGGATAAGTGTTGGTTAATTTTAGGGCTAGGGTAAGAAACAGGGATCTGCCGGTCGAATAACAACTGCCATTAACTAGAGACCAATGTTTGATTGATTGTCTCAATGGTTGGTCTCTTTCACAAGGCGACCTGATGGGTCGGGCCATGAAGAACCTGGACAGCCTGTTACAGATGCCCTATGGCTGTGGAGAGCAGAACATGGTGCTGTTTGCGCCCAACATCTACATCCTCAACTACCTGCAGAGCACCAGGCAGCTCACCAAGGAGATCCAGACCAGGGCCACAGGCTTCCTAGAGAGTGGTGAGTGAGCTGGGTCCTGTTCAGTAAGGCACAACATAGCAAAACTGTTTTAAAATATGTTGCAACAAAAAACAAGCATTTATTATCAGACATGTTCAGTTACAGCCTGCACTCCCTGTTTTACTCAATAAAAATGACAAAATCTTCCTACTGGACACAACCCTGGTGAAATGGACTGCAATGCTTAATGGATGTTTAATGGAATACATAGAATGCACTGGGATATGACAAGATAATTTGCAGTAAGACTTTTTAAATAATTAGCAGTGATTGAACAGGAGTCTGCAAAGATCAACACTGTCTGACAGTTTGTGGTCTGATCATTTCTGTGTGCATCTCACCTCTGACTAGCAACAACCTGTTGTCTATATTTGGCACTGAACCAGTTAACTGCACCTTGCACATATAATAGAAGTCCCTAGAAGGAGAATCTGTTTGTTCATTTGGCCATTTGTGTTGCAGGCTACCAGAGAGAGCTCAACTACAAGCATAACGATGGCTCCTACAGTGCCTTTGGGCAGAGCGATGAGTCTGGAAACACCTGGTCAGTTTATTGGAAGTCCACTCAGTCATTATAACTTATCTTAGATAATTCCACAATTTAGAAAAAAAAAAAGTAAAGTCCCTCTTGAAAATGACATTGGATTAAGGGTGTTACAGTATGTAATCAAGGCAGGAATGTGATCGTCTCCAATCAGTATTAGTATGTGCTGAAGCCAATTATTATTGTGGCAAGTATAGAGTTGGCTTCAGCACATACAGTATGGCTACTAACTTCTGTTATCTAGATTCTATGATCCATAGTTTAGGTAAGGCTCACCACATCTAATCTTAGTAACTCCAGTGACATCTTTCCCATGTCCTCTCAGGCTCACCTCCTTTGTGCTGAAGTCCTTTGGCGGGGCCAAGCCCTACATCTTTGTGGACCCCGCCCACGTTGCCCAGGCCAAGGCCTGGTTGGCCAGTCACCAGCAGAAGGATGGCTGCATTGCGTCAATGGGGAAACTCTTCCATAACGACATGAAGGTAAAGGGGAATCAGAGCTCAGTTGGTAGTAGTAGTAGGAGGAGGAGGAGGAGGAGGAGGAGGAGGAGTAGTAGTATCTTACTACTGCCACCAAATGTGAAAAGGTAACGTTAAGGGGAGAGATTCAGCAGGAGGTTCTGGTGCAAAAGTGTCCCTTTCTATTTACAGTGCAATGGTGGGGTCGGCATAAAATTCTAGATAACTAACAAACAAAAGACTTGATAACAATACATAGTCTAACATCAAATATGTGTACTTTACATAATTCATATTGCACTGACACCGAGGATAATGTACTGTTCAGCAGGACCTTAGGACCCCACGTGTGCCCCAAAGAAGCACAAAAGTGCACATGCTGAGCACAACAAGAATCCCAAGCATGTTTTAGCCTGTCCTGAGAACACACCACCTCCCCAAAGTGACCTCAGTCTGACTAGTCCTGACAGCTTTTGTGTATCTCCAGAACACTACACTTGAATCTGAAGGGCTTAACAGGTTCCCCCCCGTTAACTTAGGTCAAACGTTTCGGGTAGCCTTCCACAAGCTTCCCACAATAAGTTGGGTGAATTGTGGCCCATTCCTCCTGACAAAGCTGGTGTAACTGAGTCAGGTTTGTAGGCCTCCTTGCTCGCACAAGCTTTTTCAGTTATGCCCACAGATTTTCTATAGGATTGAGGTCAGGGCTTTGTGATGGCCACTCCAATACCTTTACTTTGTTGTCCTTAAGCCATTTTGCCACAACTTTGGAAGTATGCTTTGGGTCATTGTCCATTTGGAAGACCCATTTGCGACCAAGCTTTAACTTCCTGACTGATGTCTACAGATGTTGCTTCAATATATCCACATATTTTTCCTTCCTCATGATGCCATCTATTTTGTGAAGTGCACCAGTCCCTCCTGCAGCAAAGCACCCCCACAGCATGATGCTGCCACCCCCATGCTTCACGGTTGGGATGGTGTTCTTCGTCTTGCAAGCCACCCGCTTTTTCCTCCAAACATAACAATGGTCATTTTGGCCAAACTGTCACGGTTTCGGCCGAGGCTGCTCCTCCTCCTGGTTCGGGCAGGCTTCGGCGGTCGTCGTCCCCGGAGTACTAGCTGCCACCGATCGATGTTTCATGTTCGTTTGGTTTTGTCTTTATGTTGTACACCTGTGTCTTGTTAGTCCTCGTTAGTGTCCTATTTAGTTCTCGTTGGTTGTGTTTGTCTTTGTGTGTGATTGCTCATCTGTTTTCGTGTTGGAGCTACGTACTTCCCTCCAGTGTTTTGGAGAGGGTTTTCGCACATGTTAGTGCGCCGTTTGTTTGACACCTGTGTGTGCCGTGATTTCGCCTTCGGGCTTATTGTGCTTATTTTCTACGTGATTATTGCACTAAAGTCTTTTGGACTGAGCTTCTGCGTCCTGCGCTTGATTCATGCACCACACCTACCTTCAGCACCCCTTGACAGAAACACACCTGAATGGAATCAGCAGGATCTGCAGTTACGCCTGAGTCGCTCGAGGAGCATGTCCGCGGCCAAGATGACCAGATACGACAACTGGGGACCGCTCTACAGGACGTCATCAACACCTTGCACCGATGGGAGGCCAGCGGGGTACCCACGCCTCCACCTACTCTGCCAACCCCATCGGCCGGTCCACCAGTCCCAGGTCCGGAACACAGGGGGATTCGGCTCTCGCTCCCGAGGGCGTATGACGGAACAGCTGCCGGGTGTCAGGGGTTCCTCCTGCAGGTGGAGCTCTACCTGGCCACTGTACACCCGGTGCCCTCGGGACACGAGAGCGTTTCCGCCCTCATCTCCTGTCTCACGGGCAAGGCGTTGGAGTGGGCTAACGCCGAGTGGAGGAAGATGGACGGCAACACCATCTCCTACGCCGAGTTCTCCCGTCGCTTCAAGGCCGTGTTCGACCATCCACCTGAGGGCAAAGCGGCAGGGGAGCGTCTAGTCCACTTGAGACAGGGGAGGAGGAGCGCACAGGCGTTTGCTCTAGAGTTCCGGACTCTAGCGGCGGACGCAGGGTGGAATGAACGGGCCCTCATTGACCATTTTCGATGTAGCCTACGGGAGGACGTTCAACGTGAGTTGGCCTGCAGGGATACCCATCTTACCTTCGACCAGTTGGTCGATATGTCCATCCGTCTGGACACCCTGCTGGCCACCCGTGGACGTCCCGAGGGGGGTCCGTCCATTCCGCCCTCCGGCACCTCCAAGCCGAGCCCTATGGAGCTCGGGGGTGCCGGCGCTAGAGAAAGGAGGAGGAGGAGCCCGAAGGGGCCTGTCTCCTGCACCAAGTGCGGTCGTGGAGGATGGGCACATGCGGGGGGCCAG